GTAATCGTCACGGCGATTACGCCGATGATTACGCTGGTCGTGGTGGTCGCAAGAATCGTTGCGCTAATTGCGGCGATCAAAATTGTCGTTCCGACCACGGTTGCCGCGGTAGTCATCGCGGTGTGGGGGGTGGTCGGAGCGTGGAACCCTTGCTGCTTCTTCGATGATTATCTTTTTAGCATCATCAGCGTCCGCCTATTTTTTAGCGGTAGCTAGGAGCGCTGTGACCGATTCAGGTCTTTTGCGGAGGAGCTTGTCTCTTAGGGCATCGTGGAAGCGAAGACCAGTGATGAAAGCTTCGATTGCCTCGTTGTCGGAGATTGATGGGACCTTGATGCGCATCTCCGAGAAGCGTCGGACGTACTCGCGCAGCGGCTCATCTTTGCGATCTCGAATCCGCTGCAGATCATATTTGTTGCCGGGTTGTTCGCAAGTAGCAATGAAATTGTCGATGAATGCTTGCTTGAGCTCTTGCCAAGAATCAAAGTAGTTTACCGGCAAGCTGACCAGCCATTGGTGGCCTGCATGGCCGACGGCGACTGGGAAGTAATTAGACATGACGTGCTCGTCAACCATGGCTGATCTGCACGCGGTTTGGTAGAGCATGACCCATAACTCTGGGTTCTCCTTGCCGTCGTACTTCTGGAGTTTTTCGAGCTTGAAGTTTTTTGGCCACACGACTTGGCGGAGGTGAGGAGTGAACTGCTTCAAACCCGGAGGGCCGTGGGTAGTATCATATTCCATATGGCGATAGCTTTCGTGAGATGCACGATCGTCGGCTCTTTGGTTAATGTGATCGCGCAGATCGCGTTCTCCGAGATAATGGCGGAGATCGTTATTGCCATCACGGCGATCCCGGTTGCCGCCCTGGTTGAGCCTGCGACCATGGTTATCACGGCGATTGTCGCGGTTTTCTCATCGATTATCGTCCCGGTTGTAGCGGCGGTTGTCGTCCCGACCACCATCATGACCACCGTTTCCGCCTTGACGGTTGTCTGGTGGGACGTTGTTGCGCGAGCCACGTTGGTTGGGTGGCTGTGGGCAACTTGAATACTGACGACTGTGGCTTGATTCGACTGAGGCGGTCGGAGCCCGAGCTTGGTTTGCAATCTCTGCAGTCTGGGCCATAGCAGCCGTCAGGTAGGCTTGCATATCATCACGAATTGCCTAGATTTCCGGGGTATTGGGCAGTCGTTGCATTGTCGCCATAGCAATAGCTACGTTGGCGCTTGGAGTCCTGAAGACCTGCTTTTCCCCTACCCTATCAAAGGCATTGTTGAGATCACGTGGCTGGAGCCTTATGCGTCGTGCCTCCACTTCTGCCTCGGCTTCGGCTTGTCTGCGATTAAACCGGTCAATATTGTGTGCTTCGCGTGCTAGCCTTTCTTGTTCTGTTTCGCCAACTGCCGGGGGTTCGTCATTACTGACGACATTGATTAAGTCTCCTCACCTTGATGGGAAGGATGGGAATCGTGGAAACCCTGGGGGCGGTCTGGGATATCCAGATCGTAATCAACTTCTTCATCGTCGCGAAGCTGAAGCTCAGTGTGGATGGAGCCATTAGATGCGGTGCTGGACGGGGAGCTTGAGCCGCCCTCTTGAACTGTGTGAACCGATCCTTCTTGGTACTCCTCGATCCGAACCATGTTGACGAAGTTGCGTGGCTTTGGCCGAGGTCGTTGTATATTGCACGCATAGTTGGAAGCAGTGTTTTGCAGGCCGTAGGGCTGGGCCTGGTGATTCTCCATCAAGGCTTCGCACTCGGAGAGCCAGAGACCGGTTGCGGGGGCTGGTCGGCGACGAACGGAGTGCCCTTCAGGAGTAGACGTGACCACGAGATCCGTACCGAGTCGTGCAGGACGACTGGCCCGAGCTGGTCGGGTAGATCTGTTGTAGATAGTGGCTACCTGCTCTGTAGGTTGATTTTGAATCGAATCTACCAGAGCTAGGGTTTCAGCAAGCTTGGTGTCGACCCGATCGATGGAGTCGAGCAGGTCGGTGTTGTCGATCTGTCTCCCTTTGTAGCGAGGAAGCGAACGACGGGCTGTCGGCGTGGCTGAGGACGACGCTGGTGTGGCCGGAGCCAGATCCAACGTGGTCGGAGCCGTAGCCGATGCTGGTGAAGCAGTGGTCGACGTAGATTGGATCTGCGCCTCCTCCGTGGTCATGGCGATGAAGTTGTCGGAGCCAGTGGTCCAGGTGATCTAGCCGATGGTGAACGTGAGGCCGTTCGGCGTAGCCATGGAGCCAGGGATGATGACCATCTTGTTCGTCTGGGGAGCAGCACGCACACCCCCTACCTGGCGCGCCACTATCGACGAAATATGGTCGACAGTCTACCTAGGGGTATGCCCAAGGTAGTAGATTATCGGCAGACAGGTGTGCAAGCTACGAACGAGATGATGACGCAAGACAGACACGAGGTTTTATCCAGGTTCGGCCACCGTGAGGGCGTAATACCTACGTCCCGCGTCTGATTGTATTGTTATATGTCAATGAGATTGTTTTTTAGAGGGGTCCCCTGCCCGTCTTATATAATCTGGAAGGCAGGGTTATAGATCTGGAAACTAATCCTAACCGATTACAATTGCCATAAGTGGCTAGATAAGGATTCCTATTCTAACCGACCAGGATCTTGCTTGATCTCCAAGTCTGCCTTGATTCCTTGCGCGGAACTCCGAGCAGATCGACTAGGCCGCGCGTCGTCTTCTGGTGGACCGAACCCCCTAGACCGGGCCGGCCCAAACCTACCGTAAGGGTATAGGGGTTAATACCCCCACAGACGTTAGCCATAGAATCAAAACAGGGTGGAACAAGTGGCGACAAGCTTCTGGCATTCTCTGTGACAAGAGGGTAACACAAAAGCTAAAAGGCAAGTTCTATAGAACGACGATTAGACCGGCTATATTGTATGGAGCAGAATGTTGGCCTACAAAGATTTGACATGTTCAACAACTGAGTGTTGCAGAAATACGTATGTTGCGATGGATTTACGGTCACACAAGAATGGACCGAGTTCGGAACGATGATATACGTGATCGCCTAGAGGTAGCACCAATTGAAGAAAAGCTTGTCCAATATCGGTTGAGATGGTTTGGCCATGTCCATAGGAGACCTCCAGAGGCACCAGTGCATTGTGGAGTCCTAAGCCAAGCTAATAATATGAGGAGAGATAGAGGAAGACCAAAATTGACATGGAGGAGACAATAAAAAGATATTTGAAAGCTTGGAATATACCTAGGGATCTATGTTTGAATATGAGTACTTAGAAAGTAGTTATTGAAGTGTCTGAACAGTGACTTGGGGCTCTCGGTGGGTTTCAACTCTAGCCTACCCCAACTTGTTTGGGACTGAAAGGCTATGTTGTTGTTGCTGTAATCAAATGAAGAGACCTCACTGGTGTCCTCCTCCAGATGGAATAATTAGGGTGAATTTTGATGCATCTTTCAAATCTGAAACCTATCAAGGGGCTTTGGGAGTGGTCTTACATAATGCACAAGGCCAGTTTGTAGCAGCCCAATGTAAACGGCATGAATCGATACCTGATGCTCTACCTGCTGAAGCTTATGCTTGTCGTGATGCAGCGCTACTGATAAGAAATTTGGAACTGACAAAAGTTATTGTTGAGACGGAATGCCAAGAATTAGTTTCTCTATGAAACTCCAGAGCTAATAATAGATGTGTTATCCTTCCTGTTCTAAACCAAATTCAAGAGCTTTGTCGGAGTTGCACACATTTTAATTTTGTTTATGTAAGGAGAGAAGCGAAAATGGCTGCGCATTATACAACCAAGTTTGCTTTGGTCTCAGATTCAGAATGTAGGTGGATGTATCATATCCCTACCTTTTTACTCCGATGTATTCAGCATGATTCTCATGCTAAGAACTGAAGTGATTTAAAGCCTTGTTTCACACACACACACACGAAAAAAACAGCATCAGATATCATAATATTTCTTATTCTTATGCATTGAAAGCTTGGCTCTTAACATATATCCATAAAGGGCAGCACGGTTAAAGGTCAACATATATTTATGCCATGATTGCTTGAAGAGGCTGATCAACAGCTAGACAAATAGCAGCATCTTTTATTCTATATTATGCCAACAAATCTGAACACTTTCAGATACAAGAACAAGAGTAATTGAGCAAAGATAACATTAAGTTCATGAAGTCTAACTTGCCAGCTTCAAGTTTTTACTATTTCATAAACATGTCCTACTATGCCTGTAGCTGTAGTGGGGGAAGGAAAAGAAAGGGTTAAGGGTGAAACCCTGAAAACTGATGCCCTCAGTTGGCCCCACTATCTCTAGAAATTGTTCAGCTGAAGCAACATACTAGATACTCTGGTTAAGTGGGCAAGCAATGGTGACAGCAGCAAAAATGCTAATTAAATTGACCAGTAGCATATCCCAACATAGACTGCACATAATCAAACAAGGGCGTACCCAGTGCAGAGAGCTCCCGCTCTGTGCGGGGTCTGGGGAAGGGTGTTAGTGGCAAGACTTACCCTCGGCTGTGCAATGCGAGGAGACCGCGACTCGAACCCGAGACCTTCCGGTCACATGCGGTAAAACTCTGCCGCTTGCACCAGGCCCGCCCTTTTGCACATAATCAAACAAGAAAATAAAATTTATGTGCACTAATATATAAGATTCATTTTAGTTCATTCATCCAAATTAAAGCAAGGAAGAATCAGCTCTTACAACCATATCGTTATATATTCCAAACTAGCACATGTTTCCCACGAGAAACATGATATTGATACAGAGGATAGTAGGATTGATTAGTGCATCAAGAAGTGATAACCTTGCATGATACAAGTGCTTGCAGCTAAGGATCTTAAGCATATCCTGAGCATATTTAAGGATGAGAAAATACTAACACCACCATCGGATACCTTTATATTGCTTATTATCAATTGAAACCATGGCTGCCAGCATATATATCCATATAAAGGATGGCAGCAATACTGATGAGAAGAACGACTTTAATCCATTATCACCAATAATCTCCACAGGAGCACTTTCCATCCTTGAAATGGTGGAACCTCTTATTATCCCTCACAATGAGCTCTCTCCCAACGATCCTTGACATGATCTTGATGGCATTGTGGCAGTCCCCACATATTCTCAGGTTCTTAATGATGCGAAGTGGAGTCCTTGCTGGGGTGCTAATCAGACCATAAGCAATTGCCAGCCTCTCACTGTGGTACAGCAATGCCTGTTCCTTGGCCTCCTGATCAATGTCATGGAGCACATATCTTGTGTCTGGGACGTACCTCTGCTCATTGACCACCTTCTTTTCAATCTTTGGTGGCAGCCTGTACTCTACTAGCTTGTTCCTCCCATCAAGCATGTTAATTCCCAGGCGCCTCTTCGGAGGTGGGGTTGGGAGCTTCTTAGGGTTTGCCTTGGACGGATCAAGCGACACCAATAACTCTGCTGCCCGGTCCTCAAGATCAATGTCTCCATTCATCCGGGCCAGGTTCAAGAGTGACTCCCACACCATGGCATTGGGCTCGAAAGGCAGCTTCTCGATGAACTCCAGAGCCTCGTTGAGATGCCCTGACTTCCCCAATACCTCAATGATACCAACATAGTGCTCCAGACCAGGCCCGATGCCATGGTCCCTGGACATGGCATCAAAGTAAAGGAGCGCCTCCTCAATGGCCTCTGAGTTGGCACAAGCATTGAGCACAAGCAGGTAGGTCTGACTGGTGGGTGCCATGCACTCCTTCATCAGCTCAAACAGCCGCAGCGCCTCGTCCCCAAGCCCATTGACCGAGTAGCCATCGATCATGATGTGCCACGAGTCCATGTCACGGTCTGGCATATTGTCGAACGTCCTGCGGGCGTGGGGGCATGGCTGCGCACTTGGCGTACATCTCGAGCAGCTTGTTGTTGACCCGGAGGTCGCCGCGGAAGGGCGAGCGGAGGAAGAAGTCGTGCACCTTCCTGAGCTCCTCCAGGAGCTTAGGGTTGGAGCAGGCGGCCGCGAGCTCGTAGAACGCGGGTGGGTCAGCGTGCGCACCCTTGGCCAGAAGCTCCACGGCGTCCTTCACCCGCCCCTCCCGGCACAGTCCCATCAACTCCCCAGGCCCCGCCACAGGTTCAGGAGGCGGCGGTGGAGGCGGTGCCAGCTGGTGCGGGGTGGAGGCCCGTGGCCGCGTGGCGGTGGAGGCGACACATGCTGGCCTGGTGGCGGAGGCGGAGGCACATGCTGTCCCGGTGGCGGAGGCCCGTAGCCGTGTGGTGGTGGCGGCGGCGGCACATGCTGTCCCGGTGGTGGAGGCCCGTGGCCGTGTGGCGGCGGAGGCGGCGGCATATGCTGGCCCGGTGGTGGAGGGCCCGTGGCCGCGTGGCGGGGGGGCGGCATATGCTGTCCTGGTGGTGGAAACCCGTGGCCGTGTGGCGGCGGAGGAGGCGGCACATGCTGTCCCGGTGGTGGAGGCCCGTGTCCGCGTGGCGGTGGGGGCGGCACATGCTGTCCTGGTGGTGGTGGAGGTCCGTAACCGCGTGGTGGCGGAGGCGGCACATGCTGGTGCTGCGGCGGTGGAGGCCCATAGCCGCGGGGCGGCGGAGGCGGATGTCCCTGCAGGGACCACTGTGGAGGGGCCCCGGGGAGGTGGGTTCCTCGGCGGCACCCACTGCTGCTGCTGGTGGTGGGGAGGGTGGTGGACATGGTTTGGGGCGGCGGCGGCCGGGGTAGGGAAAGGGTGGTAGGCGTAGGACGATCCCGATTGGGAAGAGAGGGAGAGGGGCGGGCGAGGAGGTGGAGGAGCGAGCGGGACCTCGCGGAGGAGACGGCGACGGAGCGGAGCGGGCGCAGGTGGATGGCGGCGGTGGCGGCCATGGGTGCCGATTGGGGAGGCGAGGGCTTCTCGCCTGCGTGCGATGGGTGGGGTGGGGTTTAAGCGCAAGGCGAGATGGGACTGGACTGGGTCTGGCAGGGTGGGTGGGGCGGTGGGCTGCGTGGGGAGGAGACGTGATGAGACCAGACGAGACGGTGGAAGATATTTGAGGTCCGGGATCGCAAATGGCGGAATGGTGGTACTGCCCCAACCCAAGTGGTCTTTTTACTTGGCCGGCCCACAAGTTAAAGAATCAGGCCCATGCCTGCGCCTCAGGCCACGGAAATGGTAGGCGCCGGCGGCGAACGCAATCCCGCACCGCGCCGCCGTGCGCCATTCGCGGCCGGAAATGAGTTCCGGTAACGTTCATTTCTGCCAGTGCAAACCTGCTCTCATTTCTGCCAGTGTCAGCACTTGTACTAGAATCCAGTGTCCTTCCGTCCGCTTGATTTTCGATAATAATACGATAAAGACGTAAAAAAAAACAAAAACCCCTGTCCCCTCGTTTCACTCCCTGCGACACCTTCATCTCGCGCATCTCCCGCGGCACCTGCCGACAGCCCCTTCTTCCCATCCTCCGCCCGGCCAGAGCTCCCCGTCGGCCTCTTCTTCCTGCACCCGTTCTTTCTGTTCCGTTCATGGGGAGGGGTAGGGGGGTATGGACCCGGATATCCACAAGACAAGACATGGATCACATCATCAGAGGTGGCCCAGTCCATAAGATCAAGGCGTGCACGACACTGACCGACGTGCACTGTAAAATATTGTATAGTACCAAATAGGATACTCTTCTTGTAACCCTACCCCTCCAGAGTATATAAGGAGAGGCAGGGGTCCCATAGTGGACATCGATCTTCATAGATTTCATATTCAATACAATACACCAAAGACATAGGACGTAGGGTATTACATCGATCAGACGGCCCGAATCTGTCTAAATCGCTGTCTCTGCGCCTTGTGTCACCATCCGGTTCCTATCACGCGTACTCCCACCGATCAATCTACCTTCGTGGGATACTCCTCGGAGGACTGCCGAGCATCTTTTGTCGACAGTTGGCTCCCACCGTGAGGCTCGTGCACGTTGATCCCTGACGAACCAGATGGCGTAACTCAAGATCAACATCCTTTGCGACAACTTGGCTGATCGCGTCGACTTCCTTCCACGACCACAGCGCATCCCCGAGCAGCACGCGTCGACCGTGGTTCGCCTACCACCGCCAGTCGTGTGCACTGCATCTGCTGCCATCTTGCGCCGCCAGTAGTCTCTCTCTCGAACGCAAGGATATGGACAAGCACGTACATTACTCCGTACGTCGCGAGCAGCTAACATGCTAATTGTGCCTGTACGTGCACGTGCATGTCTACATCACGCATGCACAAGATGGCTTCCCTCGCTGGCAGCGCATCGCTTTCATCAACATGGGATCGACTATGCGGGTTCGCCTAGGACTCCGCACAAGCCGCCTGAGCCGTCAAGCAAGCCGCTAAGCGAGCTGCTCGTGTCACCGACCAGATAACGCCATACGCCGTCGATCAGACAGTCTATCTAAAGCTAAGTCACGCTTTAATATTTTTCTAAATATTCTCCAATCTTCGTATATCGCCATAATGTTTCTCCGATCTGTTTTCTCCGTGTTTGCTCTCCAAACGAATTTTCGAACCCCTGAACAGTCATGTTAACGCTTGGATGTCCCCAGAGACGGCCCTGTCTCCGACTTCTCTCTACACGTGCACGAGCATCTACCCTCTGCGTTATGGGTGGTCGGCAGTGACTCCTTAACATGCTTTGTTCTTCCTACACGCACACAGGCTCCACGCTCCGCGTTATGGTTAACAGACTAGCTAGGACTGGAGACTCAGCTACACACTAACTGGTCGGGCGGTTTGTATTAAATATAAATACATCTTCACACCAATTGATCGCCGAGCTGTATACGCTATTTCATCACTACTGCTGATTCTTCTCCGGAATTCATATATTTTTACATCATGTACTACCCGTTCTACGTATTTGTATTGCATGATCATCGTTCAGGTGATCAGACCACCTAGTGCTCGGACTTCTCCACCGATCAATTGGTCGAACCGCTAGGTTCATGGACTTCGTCGCCGACCAGTTGATCGGACTGTTCGCCGGTCACTTCTACTCAATGCTCACTTCGCCGCCGACCAGTGGACCAGACTATTCGTCGCTTGTGCTTCATCGCCAGCTACGCCGGGGACTCCTCGGTGCTCGGACATTGCCCGCTACGCCGGGGATCCTCGGTGCTCGGATAGTCGCCAGCTACGCCGGGGACTCCTCGGTGGTCGGATCTTGCTACGTTTCATCGGTGTGCTATCAAGCTGCTCCATACTGTTCGGATCAGGGTGCTGATCTTGGGTAGCACGTCTGGGGTCTTGATACGCGCATGTCAGATGACGTCGGCAAGCTTTCAGACTTCTTTTCTTTGACCCTGCTACAAGATTCATTCTTCATCTTCCAGCAGGCTCGGGGACTTCAATTCAGGGCTTCGCCCGTGGACTGGTTGCCTGCTCGGCCGATCTTCTGCCTTTCTTATACTTTCTGACCCTAGCACCACGTGACTACGTCACCTACTGTCAGACTCGGGGACTAGATGTGGGGGTATAGCCCTCGGTATCCACAAGACAAGACATGAGCCGCACCATCAGAGGTGGCTCAACCCACAAGATCAAGGCGTGCACGGCACTGACCGACGTGCACCGCAAGATATTGTATAGTACCAAATAGGATACTTTCCTTTTAACCCTACCCCTCCAGAGTATATAAGGAGAGGCAAGGGTCCCCTAGTGGACATCGATCTTCATGGATCTCATATTCAATACAATACACCAAAGACACATGACGTAGGGTATTAAGTCGATCAGACAGCCCAAACCTGTCTAAATCGCTGTCTCCACGCCTTATGTCACCGTCCAGTTCCCATCACACGTACCTCTACCGATCAATCTAACTTCATGAGATACTGCTTGTTTCTTTTGTTGTGCGTTGTGATCAGACGTCTCCTGTTCCTTGAATCGGATGGCCCCGAGCTGCGTCCGAACACGTCCTCGGACCGGACGTCCGGGTGCTAGTTGTTCCGCTTGAATTTCACAGAAAATTCACATAAAAGAACATCAACTCCACTGGAACGAATCTGAAAAGGTTGAATGCTTCAACCTTCAAGCCACACTCATCACATGAGGAAAGAGCCGATCATCTTTTCTACTTGGCGATGAGTCCTAACCAAGAACCAGAGAATAAAGTTTCTGTACAAGCTGCTGGACAAACAGAACACGAATAGGATCCACAAGTCTCAATCTCCCAGGGAATCGATCCAACTCTGCCGCGTCTACTCTGGCTACCACCAAGGAAAGGTAATACCTACAGTACAAAATGCAATGTCCTTCCTATCTCTACCAGTATCAACCATGCCCACCGCCACCATCCAAAGCGCCCAAGTATCAAACATGCCCACCATCCAAAGCCCCACCGGTGTGAAAACCCGCACAGATTCACAAATAGGTCAACCTTCCGAACGGCCTGCTGAATACATGAGTGAGCAGGCAATAGACAACCCGGCAAACTGAACTGAAACCGAGTTCTTGAACATGGTGATCTGCTGTGCTCTCTCACTGGGAGTTAGGGCTGGAACCTCGAAGACGGTCCTGACTCTCTTCGATCACTGGTTATCTCAAACTCGCTTGAGCTTGCTTTGGACTCGTTATCTGCATTGTTGCTGTGGCCCCTCCGACTCCGGCGGTCCTTCAGAGGATCACAGCACAAGATTTAGCACTATTGCGCAAGAATTATGGAGTAGTTGTATCGACGGACCAAAGCTCAAGATGTACAAACCTCCCGTGACGGGACATCTTCTGCCTCTAGCATCCGAACAACCTGACCCATAGTGGGCCTTTTCTCAGCATCTGGGTCCACACACCTCAGTGCCACTAGAAGTGCGCGCTTCAGAGCACGAATCACTGGTTTCAACTCCATGTCGGGATCCACTACCTCCTCGGCTCTTCTAGTGCCGACCATCATTTTCAGCCACTCCACCAGATGAACCTGCACAACCACCATGTTATAGGCTTGTGATTGATCAACATTCAGACCTGACACAGCTCCAAGCATAGATTTAAATAAAAAGTACTATTGCCGTAAGGGTTACTAGGCATAAACGCAGGATATGCATACACCACCTAAAGCATATTGTCCCTCCTACCAAGACCTGACACAGCTCCAAGCATAGATTTAAATAAAAAGTACTATTGCCGTAAGGGTTACTAGGCATAAACGCAGGATATGCATACACCACCTAAAGCATATTGTCCCTCCTACCAAGCAGATCCTGTTTTGCTGTGAAACAAACGGCAACTAGTATGGACTTCTTGCTTCAGCATATGCATGCGACAATAGTAGATGCTCACCTCATTAGCAGGCCGACCATAGTCAACTGGATCCCTCCCAGTCACTGCTTCCAGTAGTAGCACCCCAAAACTGTAGACATCGCTCTTCTCATTTAACAGACCTGTATTGGCATACTCAGGAGCCACATACCTGAAACAGTAGCAAAATAAAAGATGAATGGTTGTTTGCATACATAGCTGTACAGAGCCAATTCTTCTTAAAAATGGAAAACAAAGCTCTCAATATGTAAACTCCCTACTTCATGTGAATACCATAAGTTCCAGTTACTGAAGAAAGTCCTACCCCAGAGAATTGCCATAAAGAAAACATGCAAAAAAAACACATACCCGAATGTTCCCATAACTCGAGTTGTGATATGGCTCTTCCCAGCACCCAAGAGCTTGGCCAGTCCAAAATCAGAAAGCTTGCCATTGAATTCTTCATCAATTAAGATATTGCTCGATTTGATATCACGGTGTACAACTTTTGGTTCTATGGCTTCATGTAAATAAGCAAGCCTGTATATTGTTCAGTTGTAGAAAACACATTACATAAATAAATGTATGCATATAAAAGATGCAAAATGATGAATGGTTC